TTCACCCTTTAATCATTATATAGTGCCCTTTCTTATCCTTTGTGGTGGATTTTACTTTGAAGTCTATTTTGTCAGAGATTAATATTGCCACTCCTGCTCTTTTTTTGTTGTTGTTGTTGGCTTTAACAAAGAGAAATTTATTTCTTCACAGTAAAGTAGGCTAAAAGTCCAAATTCAGGGCATCAGCTCCAGCGAAAGGCTTTCTCTCTCTGTTGGCCTTCTCATCAGTGTTCCCCAGGACTTGGAGCTCTGTTCCCAGCACTGCTTTCTTGATGGTATGAGGTCCCCCTCGTCTCTCTGCTCACTTCTGTCTTTTATATCTCATGAGATTGCCTCAGGACATAATCCAGTCTTGTAGATTGAGTCCTGCCTTACTAACACAACTGCCACCCATCCTCCCTTATTAACATCATAGAGGCAGGATTTACAACCATAGGAAAATCACACCATACCAGGAATTATGGCCTTGCCAAATTGATACACACATTTTTTGGGGGACATAATTCAATCCAGGACAGGAGGGAACACATAATAAAGGATTATGGGATGCAAAAGCTAGAGATGACCATGAGAGTGAGTGGCTGAGGGTACACACAAAATCATTAGAGGTGAGGAAATCAAAAAGATGAGAGGATAGGATATTATAAGGAATATTGTAGACATTGAAATCAAGTATTCTGATGTGTATAGAAAATTTAACTGGGGAAGCAACATTTCATAGAGATATCCTGAGAAGAATGTTAAGACATTACTCTTAGCATACATTTCCATGTTGTATAGTAGAGATCAGAGGGAAACAAACTTTTTTTTTTTTTACTGTTTCTCTTTTTTTTAATTGTACTTTAGAAGGTTTTCAAAGCAAATTAGTTTCTCATTAAACAATTAATACATATATTGTTTTGTGACATTGGTTGCCAACTGCATGACATGTCAACACTCTCCTTTCTCCACTTTGGGTTCTCCTTTACTAGCTTTCCTGTCCCCTCCTGCTTTCTCGTCCTTGCCTTTGGACTTCTTGTTGTTCTTATGTGTCCTTGACTCAGATCCAATTGATAGTGACCCTATGTACAACAGAATGAAACACTGCCCTGTCCTGTGCCATCCTCAGGATCATTGCTATGCTTGAGTCCATTGTTGCAGCCACTGTGTCAATCCATCTTGTTGCGGATCTTACTCTTTTTCACTGACCTTCTACTTTACCAAGCATGATGTCCTTCTTCAGGGACTGGTCCCTCCTGATAACATATCCAAAGTATGTGAGATGAATTCTCATCATCCTCGCTTCTAAGGAGCATTCTGGCTGTACTTCTTCCCAGACAGATTTGTTTGTTCTTCTGACAGTCC